AGCTGAGTTAACATGAAACAATAATGGCTAACTTCTGTTGACTGCTTAATAGCATGTAACGGGGTTACATATTATGATGTGTAGTAATGTGCTAAATGCTTAATGTACAAGGTCTCAGTTAATTCTCACAAATTCTCTCCAAAGAAAATTATATTTATATTATTAGGAATGATAAAATTTAGGTTTAAAGCAATAAACTTGCCCAAGATCACAAAGCTAGTAAGAGATGAGACTGTGTCTTCCTAATTCCAAAATCTATACTCATAACCATTTAAGTTATTCTGCTTCATATTGTGTCATAATTTAATCAGTGCCCTCTTGTGGACAACTGTGTTGTTTCTAATTGGGTCTACTACAAATGACCAACGGTCCCATGCCCAAGCTGTTGCACAAACCCACACTCATTTCCTTGAAAAAATTTTCCCGAAGAGGAATTGCTAAGTTGAAAGGGTATGATGGGACCAGCAAATGGTGCAGTGGTTATGTCCCTGGACTCCAACATAGCCAACCACGGTGCGAGTCCCAGACCCAGCGGCTTAAAACTCACACTGGGAGCGTGTGCATATGTGCCCAAAATCTTAAGAGGAGACTGGAGGTGAAGGGATTGCGGTGTGGCCATTCCCCCGGGGAGTGATTTCTCGCTTTCTGTCTCTGTCTGTCTCTGTTTTTTGGACAAGCGCACATGCCCTGGAGCAAAACCTCAACTCTAAAAAAAAAGGTATGATTAGGACAAGGACAAGTAATACTTAAGTAATCAACTACATTAACAATTAAAAATGAAAAACACTCTGGGTCATGATTGAATTCATGTCATCATAACTACAAATCATACCGGATTAACTGCAGAATCAGGATTGATCTGCAATGTGTAGATATCATCTCTTGAATACTGGAAGAGGCCATAGTATGGATTCAACATTTCATGTGACAAGAGATATAACCATTCCCTAGAAAACAAGATAGGACAAATGAAATCTTTGCTAATAAGTAATACATTTTTATTAATATATGCCATAATCACTTTAGCAAGGAATTTATACACACACCCACACACACACTTTTAATTGCCAGAGTGGCACATGTGCTTATCAGGGAGAGAGAGAGAGAAATATATAGAGAGAGAGACGAAAGCACCCCACTATTTGGTATGGTCATACTACAATCCTTTGTCCTCTGCTTCTCCATACTGGGGTTTGGGACACACAAGCCTGATGTGTTTTTCAAGCTGCCAGGGCTGGGATTCAAACTAGTCAGCCACGTGGGAGCTAGTTCCTTACCACTGGCTGTGAGGCTGGCCCTAAATGATATGTTTTGATATTCAGATTAAAAAGACTGAATAGCATATTTTATCAAATATCAGGTTGTTGGAAAAGTCCTGACGCATTTTTGAATAGACAAACAGAAAAAAAACATACCATGACTTTTCTGACAACCCAATATAATGAAATACGATTAAGTATTTTAAAGTGTTTCAAAATTCTATAATGTGATATCTAAAGCAAACTATTACCTATTACCACTACGTAACATTTGAAAAACTACTCTAAAGATGAAAATAGAAGTCTTCACATAAACAGCTTTGTCAAAACATTTAACACTCACCCCGCATGTCTTGTATGCTTTGTGTGTGTGTGTGTGTGTGTGTTCAAATCCAAGCGCAGCCACAGAAGCATAAGCAGGAAAGTGTTTCTGTGAAAGGCTGGGGCCATATGGGAGGCCTGCGTTTCGTTCTAGGCCAGGAACAATGGCACAAGCGAACTGCAATCCTAGCTCCAAGAGAGGCCGGAGCAGGGGGATCACAACATGGCAAGACACTGCCAAACACACCCGTCTCTCACATCTTCCCTCTCTTTGCCTTCCTCTCTCAAGTCAAAGAAAATACAATTTTTTCTTCTGTTTTACCAAGTATTTAGGACACTCGTAAGGGCAGAACTCAACTATTTTTGAGTTCTACTACGGAATAAAGTTCAGAAAAAGCATTTCACTGCCACATCCCATTTATTCTGTCCAAATCCTGACAACAGTAAGATTAAAAAGGAAACAAAAACAGATTTACTTATTTGATCTCTCTATATAATATTTAGTAACCATCATCAGATAATTAACAAGTTTTCCTAATAAACATCCAAAATCTAGTTGTAATAATGGCACAGAAACTATCAACTCATTTGTGGGTAAGAGACTGTTTTTAAAAATCCGAACTAGGGACCAGCAGTTAGTGTAATGGCTATGTTGCTGGACTCCCACATAGTCGACCGCAGTTCGAGTTCCGGACCCAGCGGCTTAAACTCACGCCGGGTGCGTGTGCGTGTGTCCCCAAGATCCTGAGAGGAGAATGAAGGAGAAGGGATTGTGGCATGGCCAGCCCCACTGAGGGGTGATTTCTTGCTTTCTGTCTGTCTCTCTCCGGCGAGCGCATGTGCCCTATAACAAAAACCTCTCCAAAAAATGAAGAAAAAAAAAAAAATCTGAACTAAAGGAACTATCCATTTGTACATAAAAAGGTACCAGAATGAAACCAATCTGCAAATGAACACAGATGACTCTACACAAGAAGACTCAATGGAAACTCAACTTGAATTGTCAGATTTAGATTAGAGAGAAGCAGAATTTCATAACAGTCCTTAGAACATTTCAATACAGAAGTATTTCTCCTATGTTAACATCAAGTCAATTTTCACACCTGAAAAAAATCCTAGCAG